TACTTGAAGTGCTTCAGCTCATGAAGAAGGAACGTGAAGCAGCTGAAAAGATTCACAACGAACGTCACTTGAGACAGATCAAGGCGATTCAAGATCAAGAAAGCCGAATCAACAAACTTGAAGCTGAACTCGCAGTTACAACAAACAAGCTGGACAACGTGCAAACCGTTTCCATTGAAACACACAACAGTATTGAAACTGTGAAGGCAAACCAAGACCGAGATTTTAAGACCCTTGCATATTTGGTTGATAACGCCAAAAGGGGGGAAGAAATTCTCAGTCACTTGGCTTTGCAACAACAAGAATTTATTCTTGGAAGTCAATAACAGCCAGTAATGTCTACTCAAGGTAGAGGCCGAAGCCGCGGACAATCCTCACAAGGACCATCTCAGATTGGTTTTGCTCAGTTCGCGAATCCTAGTCTTGGTACGAGTACATCGAAGGTTGCTGAACAGCGTGGCTGGTTCGAATGCTCTAAGGGTACCGCCACTCAGACAACAATATGGACTAAGGAAAATTTACCAAGCATGATCAAGAAATGGCCTGCAGCCGATCAAGCCAAATGGATCTCGGAAAAGAATAAAGAAGAAGAAGGCAAAAGGAAAAGAACCGAGATGTGGTATGAACTAAGAGATTTCACCGGAAATATGGGCATGAATCTTGGAGAAGAAAGAAGCTTCGAAGAATGTGTCTTATGGTGGGAAAACGGAGTTCTTTGGGGTAACAATATCAAAGAAGTTTTTGGACATTACATGGTCGGACAGCTTACAAAGAAATTTCAGAATGCAAAGTTCAAAGATGATTTCTTCAAGCTCAGAGAACATGTCAAGGAAATTTTGAAGAAAGACTTTGGTGTGAAGAAACCCAGAAGGTAATCTGAAAATTCTCTTAAGCTGATATTTTCTATTTTCGAACCTCTGTTGCGTTTTTCTCTATAAATTCGAAATATATCAATAATAATTTCCCACGGTCTATTTTGAGTCTTTAATTTTATTTGTTTAATGTAATTAGACTTTCGTGAATTAAAAGACAAGAAATATGTCAAACGCACGACAAAATTAAAAATTGATGATGATCAAAATAAAAATAATTCAAGATGCGTTTAGGAGCTTGTCTAAAAATTTAATTCACAAGTTTCTTTTGATTGTGTCTAGAAAACCATTTGTTAAACTCATCTTGGCTTTGTCAAATAAAATTGAGCAAAAAGATTATTTTTCAAGGACTTAAAGCCAATGACTAAGTATAGGTTTTGGCATTATCAAAAGGGGGGAAATTGTTAGGAATAAAGTGTAATGGTTTTGATATGCCAAATTTGTATTTGTAGATCCCCCAATTTTATTTCATAGGTCTAGTAGAGTCTTAGACCATGATCGGGAAATTATTTAATTATGAAAAGAGAAAAACAGAGGAAAATGGATGAAAATAGAAAAAGAAGATATAAAGCCGAAAATCAAGAATTTGTCTGGAGAAAATAACAAATTGAAGAAGAAGATGAATGATACAATATTCACGTCGCTACTACTCAAAGAAGATATCCCAGAAGAATTTTCGTGAAGAAAATTAATATTGGAAGAATGCATGAAATTGACTTGGAGATCAAGCATCTATGGAAAGAAAGAAGTACATCAAATGTGATTGGAGATTTAATCAAAAGTTGTACGGACAAAGTGGATGATGCTTGATATATTATCCGAAATGGCTTAAGTTCAAAACTCATTATCAACAATTTTACAAGGTAAAATTTGAGAAGTCAAATTAAATTAATCTGATGGAGTTGGGCACTAGTTTAAGCCTTGGGCGCCGATTACAAGTGGAAATTGGGAAGCAATTTCACTTGGGTGGCAATTGAGAGCAATTGCAAAATTCACTTGGGTGGCAATTGAGATGCAATTGCACTTGGGAGCCGATTTCATAGAAATTGAAATTGGGAGCTAGTTCGAAGCAATTGAAATTGGGAGCCAGTTTCAGAGAAATCAAAATCAATTGAAATTGGGAGCAAGTTTCACATGGAAATCAATGTTGAAATTGAGAAATTGGGAGCTAGTTCGAAGCAATTGAAATTGGGAGCCAGTTTCAGAGAAATCAAAATCAATTGAAATTGGGAGCAAGTTTCACATGGAAATCAATTCAATATGGGAGCCAATGTAGAATTGAAATTGGGAGCCAATTGAGGTTGTAGTATGGGATGCAATTTCAAAGTTGGGGACCGATTCAAAGAAGACATGGAGAAATTGGGAGCAAGTTTCATGGAAATCAATTCAATATGGGAGCCAATGTAGAATTGAAATTGGGAGCCAATTGAGGTTGTAGTATGGGATGCAATTTCAAAGTTGGGGACCGATTCAAAGAAGACATGGAGATCAAATTGAATTGAGATGTAGAATTGAAATTGAATTGAGATGTAGAATTGAAATTGGGAGCCAATTGAGGTTGTAGTATGGGATGCAATTTCAAAGTTGGGGACCGATTCAAAGAAGACATGGAGATCAAATTGAATTGAGATGAAATTCAATACCAGGAGAAGTCTGGGAGCCAATTTCAAAGTCAAAGTCAACAATTCAAATTGGGAAGCAATTGAAAGCACCAGGAGCAGTTGGGAGCCAATTGCAAGTCAAAGTCAATTGGGAGCCAATTACAATGGAGAAATTCAAATTGGGTGCCAATTACAAGCCAATTGAAATTGGGTGTCAATTACAAAGAAGAAATTCAATTTGGGTGGAAGTTCAAAGCCAGTTTGAAGTCTGAGAACACCCAGACGTGAGAATGAAGAAGATGAAGCAGAACTTACAGTAAAAAATATTCTCACAAGGAAAATACTAGTCTAACTAGTATGGGATTAAAATAAAGATTATTTTTGAATCCCAGAGATACAAGAACCACTTCAGAGCTAAACAGAGAAGCCATTCTACACCAAAACTGAGACCCAGATATTTCCACTCAACGTAAAACCAGAGGAATATCAAATGAAGTTTGGGAGCTCATTTACATGGAGATGAAACTCCATCAACGGCTAGCTTATCTCTTTCTGACATTTTTGCAGAAGATAAGATAAGATCTCTGACAAAAGATACAAGATTTCAAAAATGAGAGCGTCTCTTTCCAACGGACAGATTCTCATTACCAGCTATAAAATGATGAAGATATGAAGACTTGAAGTAGCACGGAGCAGAGAAAAATATACGAGCAGAGAGCTAAAATTCTAAGAGCTAAAATCTTCAAGTGTGAGAAAAGAACTCAGAGAGCTTCAAAAGAGAAATATTCTGAGAGTTCTTAAACAGAGCAAAACAGAGCATAAATATCAAGTGCTTTACTTGATATATTCAAAGAGAGAAAACACTCAGAGCTGTCAAGAGAAATCATTCCAGAGTGTTTATCTTCATCAAAGAGACCTGCGCATCATTGAAGATCATCTACAGAGTCTCAGAAGTTGGAAGCAAGACAACACTTGTTTTGGAGCAAAACAAGAGAAGGGAGGAAAGTAGCACGGAGTTGTGAAATCCTGGATTGTCACACGAAGCTGTGAGATCCGAAGCAGCAGTGTCGGAGACACTGGGCGTGATTGGTGTGGGCTTGGTGATCAAAGCACCAGATCACGGATACGTTTCTACCGGAGTGTGGAAGACGGGGGGAAAGTAACGCGGAGTCGTGAAATCCTGGGATAGTAGCGCGGCGACGTGAAACCCGAAGCAGCAGTGTGGTGTCACTGGGCGTGATTAGTGCGGGCTTTGTGATCAAAGCACTAAATCATGGAAATTCATTGTATCTTGGAACCAAGAAGTGGTGGATATAGTGAATTGGCTCTTGGAGAAAAGAGCAAGTGGAGTAGGAGGATTACACCACCTCGCGAACCACTATAATTGTCTTGTGTTCTTTATTGCTTTCTTTACATACTGCTCTTTATATATTTGCTCTCACGAAGATATACTGCTCACACAATCTCACACACACTTTATGTTTATTTATTTCCGCTGTGCACCATACTCTAACAATCTAGTTAAGAGTTTTGGTTTATCTCTGTCTTAGCAATTGTTGTGCTGTGCGAAAAAGTTTGAAAGTCTATTCACCCCCCCCCCCCCCCTTCTAGACTTTCACCTTACCTCTTTTGGGACCAACAAAAAGTAATACAGTATTTTATCTTTTGTCTTCTTCGTTACTTTTTACATGCTGATAAGGTTGATTGTACATTATTTATCTTCTTTCACATACTAATAAAAGGTGATTTTTTGTTTTGTCTTCTTTTAGTCAGTTTTATCAAAAGGTTAATATTTCTTGTCTGCAACTTGTTATCTTTGATGAAATATAATTGTATTGTATTGCTTGCAAAGTCTGCGCATCCAAGGAATCGAATCCCGGTTAATACCGTGAGAGGGTACTATGATACCACTACACCAGATGCACTAATGGTATTATAATCACTTATTAACTTAAATATTAACATTAAATCATAAATCGCTTATGAAATAAAAAGGCAAAGGAGCCAATCCGCATTTAGGAGATGCGTTTCTCGTATAATACGAGAAACACATTTCCCAAATGCGAGTTGGCAGCTGGGTTCCTGCGGGAAGCCGAGAACATATCCGCATTTGGGAAATGTGTTTCTCGTATTATATGAGAAACACATTTCCCAAATGCGATTTTGGAGTATACTACAACCACATTTGGGAAATGCAGTTGTAGTATAATATGCATCAGATGCATTTGGGAAATGCATTTGATTTTGACGGGGAGAGAGAAAAGCATTAACTTCGACCGAGTTTGGGAAATGCAGTTTTCTGCTCAACCGCGTTTCCCAAACTCGATTTTTTCTTGATCGTTCAAAAATAGTCAGAGTCCTATTTTTGTCAATTGTAGGTATGACTGTCCTATAACAGTCAATTTCCCTGGGTTTCAACCCTTGAATGGAATAAATATCAAATAAGCATCCAAACACAATATAATAATCACCACCACCATTATGAAATTTTTCTTATGTGTCTAATATTGTTCTACTGCCAAAAAAGAAAGTGCCAGAAAAGGTATCTGACTTGCGCCCAATCGCGCTTTGTAATGTCGTGTACAAAGTTTTGGCCATGATGTTGGCCAACAGGCTCAAGGACTTGTTGGGTCATGTTGTGTCGCAGTCTCAAAGTGCTTTTGTTCCTGAGAGATTATTGACTGATAATATCATAGTGGCTGGGGAAGTGGGGCATTATCTGTGTAGAAAAGTGAGCGGAGATTTGGGATGGGTTGCGCTGAAGCTAGATATGGCTAAGGCGTATGATAGAATGGAGTGGGGTTTTCTGGAGGGGATCATGTTGGCGATGGGTTTTTTCTCACCAATGGGTGAGATTAATGATGTTATGTGTCTCTTCTGTTACCTATTCAATCCATGTTAACAGGGAGGCGGTGGGGTCTGTTTGTCCCACTTGGGGCATCCGTCAAGGGGACCCTTTATCCCCATATTTGTTCATTCTGTGTGCCAAGGCATTGTCTATACTCTTACAACAGGCAGAGGCTAGTGGTGATATTCATGGGGTGAAGGTGGCACGAGGTTCTCCTGCTGTCACCCATCTATTTTTTGCTAACGGCAGTTTGTGGTTTTTTACGGCAAACCAACGAGAAGCCTTTAAAATCAAGGAGTGTTTGGACGGGTATTGTGAGGCTTCGGGCCAGTTAATAAACTTTGAAAAATCCAATATCGTGTTCAGCACCAATACTGCAGCATCTATGAGAGGTTTGGTGTGTGAACGGGGTCCGAGAATCACGAGACCTAGGACGATACTTGGGTCTCCCTTCAGTGTTAGGACGCAATAAAATCGCCACTTTTCGTTACATTGAGGTAAAAATTCGAGAACAGATCGGGTCGTGGCAATATAAACTTCTTTCTAAGGGCAGGTAAAGAGATTCTGCTTAAAAGTATAGCTCAAGCTCTCCCTATATTCACTATGTCAACCTTCTTGCTCCCAGCTCGAGTCTGTGACACTATCAAAAAGATGTTCAATCGGCATTGGTGGGGAGGAGGCGGTACAAGTAGTCGGGGGATACATTGGCTCAGCTAGAGTCGTTTATGTGAACCAAAGGCAAAGGGTGGACTGGGATTTAAAAGTCTTCACGAGTTTAACTTGGCGTTGCTTGCAAAGCAGGGTTGGCGTCCTTTAATTCATCCAAAGTCATTGGTAAGCAGGTTACTGAAAGCCAAATATTTTCCAGCTTGCGATTTCATGGAAGCATCTTTGGGAGCGAATTACTGAGCGCATTTTTCGCGAAGCATCTTGGCGGGGCAGGAAGTTTTGAAACGAGGCTTGGCACGGAGAATAGGTGATGGCCTGGATACTAAAATTTGGGGTTGGAGCTGGCTGTCCAGTCCGTCCAGCACAGTCCTAAATACATTGTGCATTGACGAACTCAAGGAGGCTAGAGTCAGTGGTCTGATGGACGAGCAAGGTGACTGGGACGTGGACGTGGTAAATGACCTATTCCAGGAAGATGATGTGTGCAAAAGCCTTTCGACTCCCATAAACAAAGCCTTCAAGGACTCTTGGACGTGGGTAGGCGATATACGAGGTTGTTATACGGTGAAACACGGGTACCGTTTGTTCACTGATCACCCAGCAGTTTCATTCTCTCAGTACGGCTTTCATTCGTGGAATCATTTGTGGTCACTTCCGGTGCCTCCCAAAGTGAAAAATCTCCTTTGGCGTGGCGCCCGTGGTGTTCTGTCGGTCCGCTAAAATCTGAAATCAAATAGGATTTGGACCGGGGGCGGCTGCCCTTTCTGTGGATTCCCCTCTGAAACGGATGAACACATCTTTTATGAGTGCAATTTTCGGTGTATAGATCTCGAAAAAATATGCGATTTGAAAAAAAAAATTGTCCAAATCGGACAACCGAGTCAAAAGTTATGCCTTCTGGAACTTTTTCCACATTTTCAAAAAAAAAAAAAAAAATCCCGAACCGGCCAGCCGCGGAGGAGGTCGCCGAGGCCATTCCTCGCGGCAGCCTCCCACCTCCTAGGCGCGATTTTTGCAACACTTATATATAAGGATGCGCGTTCAGGTAGTAACAAACTCAGTCTCACCAGTTGGGAGGTGGTAACGACCTAAACTGTTGGGTGGTCTGGGGCTTCGTCGCCTGCATGAGCTGAATCTAGCCTATATGATTAAGGTAGCTTGGAGGCTAAAAACGGAACCCCAGAGCCTGTGGGCTCGTATGCTGGCAGCGAAGTATAAATTCAATAGGGATCAACAGGGAACTGACTTACGGAGGAGAAAAGCCACAGCTTTATGGAAAGGAATCAACCAAGCATGGAGCTACCTGGAACAAGGTCTAACGAGAGTTGTTCGCAACGGCAAAACCACCCGGTTTTGGATGGATAAATGGTTAACCGAGCAGCCTCTATATGACTTGCTCCGTACCCCGCTAAGTCTACCTGACCTGTATTCTTTCGTGGCCGATTATTGGGATGGCTATCGTGGG